TGAATAATTTACTTTGTACATTTTTTAATGAATGCATCTCTTTGAGTTTCTTAGATGATAACTTTGTGTGCAAAAAAGCCTCAGGCTGGTGTCTACAGCAGTACAGGTTGTGTGTGCTGCCTCCAGTCGTCGACAATTTCAAAACAATAATGAGGGGGCAGGAAAAAAAAAAGTCTGCTTTACTGTCAAATGAGACCGATTATAAATGTATTTTTCTTCTTTAAAGCACTCAAAGACAAAGCAGCCATCACCGTGAAGCTGCTAATTTCTGCACTGTGAAGTTCGGCTCATTGTGTGTCTGTCAAAGTGTTTATGAAAATGTTTAGACGCATGTTTGACTGATTTAAAACCAAGTCGGTGTACGCTGATCTGCAGCTTACCTAACAACTTCACTTCATGCCCGCATGATTACATGGCAAGTAAAAGATATTGAGAAACGGATTTATTTTTTCCTTTGGTTTGCACTCGTGACTGAACCGAGGTTAAGTTTCTGTTTATTTTCTGTTGACTTTGATTATATTTGATATTCTATTTATTTTTGGCTTCTTCTATAGCACTTCAGTTGCCCAACATTAATAAGCCACATGCCAATTACGGGATTATACCACCATCATCACGATACTAGATAATTTACATATATTATTATTCACACTTTGACGTGCGGAATCTACATTTTATGCTGTTGTACGCAAGAAGCAATATTGTAAAAAATAAAACAAATACATACAATTAAGTAGAATTGCTGTTTTGGAGCCAAAGTAAGCCCCGACAAAAAAAAAGGTTTTACAGAGTAAATAGAAATAAAAATAGGTCATTCATTGTAACCCTAATTGGTTTATAACAACCTAAAGGTCACTTGAAGACCTGCTGACTCAGAACTACAACAGGACCTCAACCTGTGCAGCTTAACCCAACTCAAACATTTAAATTTGTTTAAAGGGCTGGATTATTATTATCATTCCTGTTATTTATTTTACATGTCTAACGTCTCCTGCGTGTACTCCATGGTTTCAGTTCATTTCTGTTGGTAGCATCGTTATCTTGGCTGTTTGTTTAAACAGGTGAAAGGAAGAAGCCCGTGTCTCAGTGATTTTTTTTTTTTTGAAGCTAGAAAAGGGAACAATAAATAATGAGCCTAAACAGGTCCATAAAAATGACACCAAAGAGCCAAAACGTGACCGCCGTCGCACCTGGAAACAAAATTACATGGTGTGATTGACTTCGTTTTACCTCTCTGGCGGCGTTTCCATATTTTTAACTGCTTCTACACACACGCACATTGGGGGGTGGGGGGTGTGGGGGGCTGCCCGCGTCTCAATGCCTCCGTGTGTGAGGAATTCCAGCAAATTCCTGCGGCCCCCTGGGGTGGTCGCTCCGATGGTATCACCTAATTGATGCCTGCTTGCTTCTGCTGCCGGTGACGTCGCTCCAATAGCGTCGTGCCATGAAGGAAGCCCCCCTACTCATCTGCACTCCGATTCGCATGCACTTTACAGAGCCACTGCAGCGAAATCACGCTGAAATACTACTGCAATCAAGAGTCACAACCCGGGAAACAATGGTCCGCGCAGCCGAGTAAAGTTACATGACATCCCACCCCCTAAAAAATGATAATGAAAAAATAATAACACACGGTATATTGGGAGGGCGGTTGGGGTAGGGGTGGGGGGTGGGGGGGTAGAGGCGCTGCCTACGCTTTAGGACGGAAAAAGCGTCACACAAAAAAAACCTCTAAGAAATTAAACCAAGATGCCAGTGGAGATGGTGAAAACACTCTACAGAATCAGCTGGCAACTTCAGATACTCCACTGAAGCCTGCTCGGATGGAAGAACACGCCTTGTACCATGTGTCTAATATGCAGCCGCAGCGTCACAGCCACACACACACACACACACACACACACACGAGAAAGAACAAACTAAAGTCCTGCAACGCAAACAAACACGTCCCGTCCACTGGGCAGAACAATCCCCAACCACCACCGCCTCCGCCCCGCTTACCTCCGATGGTGACCCGCTTTATCCTTCTTCCCCTTCGGCCGCCTCTTCCTAGCCTGAATGGCCATCACTGCTGGTTCAAGTTTAGCGACGTTGAAGAAGTCCCATGAAGACAGAGGAGACACAGAGAGAGAGAGAGAGAGAGAGACAACACAACATCCTCATCACCATCATTAGGGCTTAAAGCTGGCTGCCACGGGTCATGCAGCGTCGTTTGTGACTGACGCTTTCTTACGCCTTGTTTACGTCCACCAGCCTGAGAGTTAAACACAGACAGGAGCCGGTTAGCAGAACCGGGTTGAAGAGACACGCACCTTTCTTGGAGCTCATGTTTTCTCCTCTTCCCCGGCAGCAGGAGCGGGTCGTACGGCGGCGCCAGCCGGGTCCTCTCCCTCTGTACCCGCTCACACTAACCTCATCTGTGTTTGGATGACAAGCGCGCCCCCTGTCGATCCAAGCGGGAATCGATAGGGATGGTGGAGGATGTGATTCAGATTTTGAGATTAAATAGAGGGAGGGTGCGTATTTAGGGTTTCCTCCTGAACAGCTGCTAACTGCTACGGCAGTTATCCAATGGGCCACCATGTTTTTGAGACAAAATATGTTTAAAGTTGACAGGAAATTTGAAATTATCACTAGGTAATTATGTGATATTGGAAGACATTACCAATAATTAAACACCAACTGTAGATTGTAGATCGGGGCTAAGTTGTATTTGTATGAGTCTGATGATATTTCATAAGGCATTTAGCAAGGTATCACCTAAAAGTTAACATCTAAACTGCAACAAAACACAAGGAGGGAGGGAAAAAACACAGTTGACACATAACATTTCAGCATAAATGTTGTTGCAGAGCAGCAATAAAAGAAAGCATGACTAATGTCCAGAAAGCTTTTGCACATATTTAACGTGATAAAGGTACATATTGATTTAAATACAGTCGTTCATATGGGCAAGCAACTGGAGACAGTAGAAAGGAAAGAACCTCGAGCAGAAACTTACAGAGGCTTCTACCCAAGAATTCAGGAAAGACATGGCAGTAAACAAATGGAAAGTTATTATATTTATCATGACTTAAAGAAAATATGCTCTTCACAATCTGTTGTCCAGCAGTCTAGACTTGTAGCAGAGCAAAGAGTCAGACATAACTGATTCTCACCAATAAAAACAGGATGGCTTAGTTAATGGCCTTAAAAGTAGACATGGTGTCTGCGTCCTTTATTGAAACTGAGAGCTGGTTTTACAAGAAGAGAGCTGACAGCTCCACCTCCCATTCCACTCCTACACACTAACAACGTCCCGTAAAGTAACAAAAGCTTATTTTTCTGAACATATCTACACAGATATGTTTGGATCAACTAAATATTAGACACAGCCAGGTGACTAACTGAGATGGAAGAGCATCTCAGTTATACTCAAGAAGTTTTGTTTTCTTTTAAACAATATTATACTGATATAAATATGTTTTACTTTTAACAACGAATGTTGAGAAATCTATCATCTACACTTTATAATGCAGGATTTTATTTTTTCAGAATATAAAATCACCTATATAAAACACCTGTATGGTTGCTCCTATAACATAGAAATTAATACACAAAAGGCACCGCTGGGATTTGAACCCAGGATCTCCTGTTTACTAGACAGGCGCTTTAACCAACTAAGCCACGGCACCACTAATTCAATGTCCCTACATCTACTTTTTAATACTGAGTGATGCATGACTATTAATTTTAATGAAATAATGGTAAACTACTTACAAAAGTATCATCATTATTATTTTCTTTTTTGTGAAAGGCTTTTTTAGATTATAGATATTATGTGTATCAAGACACTAATGCAGTCTGAGAAAGTGTGTTTGTTATAAAATTCTTTTGGAAGGGATTTCTGTTTTCCTTTCCGTGTTGTATTTTCTGCTCATGGAAAAATTGTTGTGGAGTGTGATGCAACACAAAGCGCTCAAATAACTGCATATACATATAAAGCCATCATAAAAAGTGTTTTCTGAGATTTTCAATTTTTAAAAATTGGAATGTTGGTGGTTTTAATTAATTTTAGTTCCTTATTTGTTTTTTTCATTCACAAATTATTATAAGCTTCTAAAGATACCACATTCTTTATGGGAAGAATAATAACATGTCCAATTTTGTAATTTTATTTTTAATAAGACGAGGTCAAACCCTGTAAATGCAAAATGTGAAATCACATCTGTAGTCAACCGATTTACGTTGTTATTTTTTTATTGGTTTTATTATTATTATTTATTAAGTGTTGGCCTTAAATATAAAACATACCAATAACAACTTAATCACTTATTGGTTATTGTTTTGATACATTCGGCTAGGTTGTTGAAGCAATGGCTGCTTTCCTACCAATCTGTATGAAACCAAAGGAGCGGGGACTTCTGTGCAGCTACTTTGGTATGGCTCCCTCTAGAGGCCAAATTCAGGAAACGTGGACAACTTCATTAAGTAGTTCAAAAGAAAAAACGAGCCACTTTTAAAATAAATACACCACATAGATGCAGCCATTTGTATAAGAGTCCCAACTAAACATTGAATGTATGTACTGTACAAAACATATTTTTCAATAGGTTGTCGGGCTTGTATTGAATTTTTTTCTTGGTTACATATAATATCTCGTGGTTGAGGGAGTAAATGACAGCATGCTAAAGAATTTTCACACAGCAGTCTTGCCCCTAACTGTCTCGGTCATAACACATTTGTGTAACATTAATTAAAACATTAATTTCACTGTAACTAGCAAAAATAAAAGCCTGAAATTAATCACTTTTTGTGTGATAAATATTTTTTTTATCGGAGTTTTTTTTTTCTTTATCAAATTGGTAAAATAAATACATTTTCAATTATATTCTAATGAGGTTTTTTTTCAACTGTTTCTATTGTGTTGTCAGTTTTGTTAAAAGTTAATAAAGCTGCATTTTGAAGTCATTAAATGCGTCACTTCCACATTGTCAGCTCCTCCAGCCAATCCCCGACGTGGGCGGGCTTTGGGCTTAGATGTGTTTCCGGGGTCTTTCACACATGCACATGTGATAGACGCAGTTTTTCTTTACCACTTTCCGTCCTCTGTTGAACATCAACACAAACAGGTAAACAGGTGTATGTCAGTCATCCCCGCGTTGCTCGCTTTTATTTACTCGTTGTTCCAATTTACGTTCGGCTCTCCAATTGATGACCTTCCTCAGCATTAGCACCATTTGGCTTTAGCTGCTTAGTTTTAAAATGATTGTGATGGTGGGGTTTCTTTTCGTTGTCAGCGTCAAGCTGGGCTCCTAAGACGTATCTGGGACTGACTGTTCGGTGGAAGATAAGAAGAGTTTTCCAGATTCACAAACATTCCCTGCTCCACCTTTGCAAACAGTATGTTTTAAGATTAATCTCTCTCTGTTTACCCTGTCATCCTCTATGCATCCTGGGAACGTCAGGTCACAGTTATTTTAGTTATCGCCTATTTTGAGGCCTATAAAAAAAATCACTCTCTGTAGATTTTTAATTTAAACATTTTTAAAACAATACTAGAAATACATTAAAAATACAACAAAAAAGTGTATAATTCGAATCATCTGTTAAATAAGAACATAAACATTTAACATTTGAATGCAATAACATGGCATTCCTGTAGCGTATGCCTGGTCATTTGTCGCAAAGGATGCATTTGCATGGGTGGCACATGAAAATCATATTTACAGACAGTATGTGTGTGTAATTAAATAGAAAATGTATATAATTTTTGTATCGTTTTGGCTTAATTACTTTTCTGAGTATGCTTCTCTTTTTTTTTTTTTTTTTTTGGTCCAGTTAATGATTAATTGATAACTAAAGTAGCTGATGATTAGTTCAATAATCGATTCATCACGATTAATCATTTCAGGACACGCATTGCACTTGAAATATAATAATTAAGCGACCAACTACTTTTGGCTGCAGTCATTTTCTGTCACACATTGCCGTGACAGAAAATGTATTTAACAAACTTTGTGCAGTACATTTAGATCAACAAGAAATGTTTTGTTTTGCTTTAGCTCGACTTTGATGGCTGAGTCAGAATCTGTGTCTAACGCCACCCCGGTCGGAGAGAAGAGAACCTGTCTGCAGGACGGGGACGAAGAGACGCCAGCGAAAAAGCCAAAAGTCGACGGTGAAAACGGGAACGCTCCCAACACAGATGGCGGCGGTGGTGGTGAGGAAGAGGAGGAGGAGGAGGAGCAGGAAGGACAGGCAAGTGACGGAGAGGAGGACGGCGAGAGCTTTGCTGACATGATGAAGCACGGCCTGACTGAGATGGACGTCGGCATCCTGAAGTACGTCAGTGACCACGAAGGGTTCTCTGGAATCCTGAAGGAAAGGTTTGGTCCTCCTCTGGTTTTGCTCGACAATATGTTTTTGAATATATCTTCACGTGCGATAAATGGATCCTTTCTTGTGGCTTGTGTTCAGGTATTCTGATTTTGTTGTGCATGAAATCAACAAACAAGGAAAGATAGTGCATTTAGATGATCTCTCCATCCCACCAGACAGCGAGGTAAGATATCGGTCGTCTTTCATTCCAGAATTAAGTTAAGTAGGGACGTCCCGCCTGAAAACAGTTTATTTGCTGTTTTTGCTTCCAGCGTCTTCGCTGCAGCAACCGATTTGGCCTATTTTTCAGCATCAACATCTTTGCAAAAGGGGGGAAAACAACCAAATCGCTGTGGGGGGGAAGTTAGATAAAAGCTAAAAATTTCAGCAAAGCGACACTTGCTTGCAGCCTATAAGTGATTCACAAACAACTCAATGAAGATAAGGCTATCTGTGAAGAAATGCTGTCAAAGTTTAGGGTTTTTAATCCTCCTTTCCAAACGGTTTTTTTTTTCCCCAATTTAGAAGATATCTTTTATAAACATGGCATTGCAAACAATTAGAAATGAGATATTAATCCCTAAACTTGACAACGTTGAGAAAAAAGTATTTTTGTTTAAATCTATGCATGATTACGATTTATCCAGTGTTCTTCTTCTGTTACGCGTTGTGTTTTTTTTTAGGAAGGAGCAGAAACCGAGCAACAACCGAATGATTGCGACGTGCTGACGGAGGAGCAGAAAAAGCAGCTCGGCGAGCTGCAGCTCTTCAAGAATAAAGAAGGAAACGTCTCCATCGAGGTGAGCCCGAAGGAGACCCGCTTCCTTTTTCAGCGTAGGACTCCCAAACGAGCACCGCGGTCCGACGAGATTTCTCCACTGTGTCTTTCCCCCACTTTCGTAGGTGAAAGACGATACGAAGGAGAAAAGAACGCTCGTCCACAAAGCCATCAAGACTCAGTTTCCTGGTCTGGAAACAAAGACCGAAGAGAAAGAAGGCCACAAGTTCATAGTGGCCTACCATGCTGCAGGGAAGAAGGCTTTAGCAGGTAAAAATAACTCTCAGCTTGTACATTATTAAGGTTTACTGCATGTTTCTCTTTACCTGTACCCAGACTGCAGAGCCTTCCAATAGTATTCTCACCTCCTCTTTATTTTCTTCCACATTTTCTCACATTACAACCAAAACTTTTATGTAAATTTACAAAATTAGTGCATAGTTGTGAGGTAGCAAGGAGAACGATACACAGGCTTTTTTTGTGAGTGAAAATCTGAAAAGTGTGGCAGGTGCAGGGCGTTAGGTTTGTGGTTGTAACTTGACAAAATGGGTACGAGTTCATCTGCAAGCCGCTGTATGTTGCATGCACATGTGCATGATTGACACATCTGCATGATTCTGCTCAGAGGTCACACTGATGCTTTATTATTATTATTTTTAATATTTGGGATCAGTTCTGAAATTAAAAAAAAATCACTTGTGTGTAAAAACATTTAAACAGAGAGCAGTTCTCCCAGGCTCCTGCATGACTCACATCAGGGGTGTCCAAAGTGCGGCCAGGGGGCCATTTGTGGCCCCTGGAATATTTTTTGTGGTCCTCAGCTCCAGTTCAGATGCAGCTTTGGCCCGTCCAGCACAGGTGGTTGATGGGGACGACTTTATCCTAATCAGGGTTAAAACTATTACTGACATAATTTTCTTACAATGGAAAATGCTAAGTACAAGACGGGGTATTCATGTTTTTATAACCGAGCTTTTATAATCAACAGAACCAGAGACTTTTACTTTGCTGCACTCGCATCAGATATTTTCATTTAATTATTTATAACATTTGGCTAAATGTAGCAACCATTTTGAAACAAAGTGACCCAAATCTTGTTCTTATAATACATCTGTTCAATCGAGCCGAAAAGCATTTGAAAAATAATTATTTTCCTTTAATTTGGCAAACGTGCAAAATCCATCAAGAATCCTAACACTTTCCAATGAAAAAAAAAAATTCTTGATTTTCTTCTCTTTTTTTTTTTTTTTTTGTCTGCAAATACTTTTGACTTGACGATTTTGGCCCACGTGACAAAAAGTTTGGACACCCCTGTCCCACATCCTGACATGGCAACCTGTCCTTTGGTTTGTTGGAGCCTCTTTTCTTAGTAACATTATTCTATCCTCCTTTTGCTCTTCTCTTGTGGATAGAAGTCAAAACAGCTGCAGGTAAGAACTGTCTAAAAAACAGTGGCTCTGGTTGAGATTCATGCTGAGTTACTGGGTGTAAAGGAATAAAATCAGAAATGCTACATAACCAGATCACTTACTTAAAGATTGAGCCTAAACTAGTTTATGATTGTGTCTCGTGTAAAGCATTGAAAGGGGTCGTCTATGTCGCGCTGCTAAACACATTTGTATCTTCAACTTTGTTGGTAGAATCGTGGTGTTTTTAGTGAGTTTTTGTTTTCTAAAAAGTTTATTTGAAATGTTTCTCATCATGTTTTTTTTTTTTTTCTTTTTTTTTCTGTCTCCACAAAAGCTCCAAGGAAGCACTTTTGGCCCAAAAACCGTGGCAGCTATTGCCACTTTGCTCTTTACAAGGAGAACAAAGACACCATGGACGCAATCAATGTGCTGTCAAAATTCCTCAGGTCTGATTTTGACGAGAATTATTTTTTCTTTTACGTATAAGTAACAAGGCGATGTAAAGCTGTATGCAACGATCCATGGGTTTTTCCAGGCTTAGACCCAACATGTTCTCCTACATGGGCACCAAGGACAAGAGGGCCATCACAGTTCAGGAAATTGCAGTTCTCAAGTGAGTGGTAGACAAATTTTTTTGTTGTTGTTTTCTTTTGGCTAAATTGCTGCTACAACGGTTGCCATTCTGATATACCTGAACTATTTGGTTTTGGGTTTGTTAAATATGTGTGCGGTTGCTGGGAAATCAACCACAGATTTTCCGATTTGTGGATCCGACTTGTTTTCCTGTCCGCTTACGTAGGATCACCGCAGAGAGGTTGGCTCACCTCAACAAGTGCCTCATGAACCTGAAGCTCGGCAACTTCTGCTACAAAAACCATCCTCTGAAGCTCGGGGAGCTGCAGGGAAACCACTTCACTGTGGTCATCAGGTCAGCAGAAACAAGAACAGTACAAGTGTTTTGCACAAAATTCACAAATGAGCAAATGTTGGTGAAATACCAACATTTGCTCATTTGACGATAACGAACCTGTTTTTAGATCCAATTTTTAGGGGTTTTGTACTTTTTGCTGTTTGCAGCCTCACCTTTCTTTTGCAAGCTAAAACGGCATCATGACTGATACCAATATGTTAAAAACCATCAGCCAATACTGATTTTATTGCTGATAACATCGCGCATCCCTGGCATCCGTTTAATTTGGATTTAATCCTCCAACAAAAATATTGAATGAAACTCAAAATTTAGTTTTCAACGACTTTTTAAACAGGATATTATATATATTTATTTTTTTAGCTAGCACTGCTCTAAAATTTTATTTTTTCTTTGTTTGTGTCCGAAAAAAAGGCATTATTGAGGTGATCCCTTTTGTAAAGCTTGATTTTATATGTTATATATGTTTATATGTTTTCTTTTAGTTTTGTGACAGCGCTACATCCCTGTCAGAATTTTTTTTATAATTTTTTTTTATTTATATTTTACATCAAAGCTACTTTCTGATTTTATCTCTCTTTGTTGTTTCTCACCAGGAACATCTCAGGAACGGACGAGCAGGTCCATCAGGCCATGGGGTCCCTCAAGCAGACCGGCTTCATCAACTACTACGGGATGCAGCGCTTCGGCACCACCGCCGTGCCCACGCAGCAAGTAGGCAGGTGATCTGCCTGCAGAAAATCCCGACAGGATGCGGCGAATTGTGACGCTCCGGAGGGAGAACTCAGATCGTCTGGTTTCGCTTTGTTTCAGGGCCATCCTGAGAAACGACTGGAACCAAGTGGTGGATTTGATTCTCAAACCTCGACCTGGAGGTTGAGTTGTTTTTTTTTTTTTCTCTTTGCTTTTAAAGCTGCTTGCCAGACATTTTTTTAAGTGCCTCCTACTTAGTTTAGATAGAAATGAAAGCATGTCATTGTTTTGTATTTAATTTACTTTTTTTGTTGTTGTAAATAATTATGTAAGATGAAATGTTCCCTTCCTAAAACAAGCTCCAGTGCCTCTGATGACATCACATAAGGCATAAAGCAACTGATGGAGTTTCATTTGAGTACATTGTCTGTATTTGTTTTTCATGTTTTTAATCAGTCTTCCTTCAAATATACTTGCAACTGAAATACTTATACGGTAGTTTACATATAGTTTACTAAAGCCCCAGTGATGACTCAGATTTTTGGTTCTGTACAGCTGTAAACAGTATCTTACGCCGCCTTTGTCTGGATCACTTTCTACAGCAGAGAAAGAATATCTGGTTCGCTGCAGGGAGGAGTGGGCGAAGACGCAGGACCCAGAGGCTGCGCTGAAGAAGCTGCCAAACAAGCGCTGCGTGGAGGGACAGCTGCTCCGAGGCCTGTCCATGTACGGCAAGAAAAACATCGTCACCGCCTTCGGACTGGTTCGTTTCATATCTTCAAAACCGGGGCGTGTTAAAGCGGGAGAAAAATCCTTTGTGATAGATGTTGTTTTGTCTTTCATCCCTGTCAAAACTTGCATAGATATGAATTCAGCAGAGATAATTAACACACAGATTTGCTTTTGCCTTTATTTTTCTAGATTCCCCGGAACAACCGGCTGATGTACGTTCACAGCTACCAGAGCGTGGTGTGGAACACCATGGTGAGTCGCAGGATCGAAGCCTTCGGCCTGAAGGCGGTGGAGGGCGATCTGGTTCTCAGAGGAAGTAAGCTCAGTTTTCCTTTAACTTGTTCCGAAAAGTATTTCTAATCTAAAATGAACAGAGTTTGGTTTAAAAGTGATTTATCATAAAGGAAAATGCTGTTAAAAGCTGAATTTTCAGCCTTTTTGCTTCTCGTCTGCTCCCACAGCCACAGCACACGTCCTGACTGCAGAGGAGGCCGAGAGCCACTCCATCCATGACATCGTGATGCCACTTCCTGGGTATGATGTCATCTACCCCTCCCACCACAGTAAGACATGTCTTTGTGATTCCCTTTCTTCTTATTATAAATATAAATTTATTAGGAAAAATTAGGGACACCCTGTGTGTCTGAGTTGTCCCAATTATGAACCGTTATGATCAGTTATGAGATATATATATAAAACAATAGATTTAAAAATGAAAAAAAAAAATCCCTTTTTATTGGAAGATGTAATTAAGCCTTGTTTCTGTCAGTCGGTGAGGGATACAGGGAGCTGCTCTCTGCTGACGGCCTGGACCTGGACAACATGAGGCACAAAGTGAAGGACTACTCCCTGGCCGGAGCCTACAGACGCGTCATCATCAGACCCACTGACGTCAGCTGGTTAGCAGGATTCCATGTTTTGTTTGTTTTTTTCTACATTAACCCTCTTGGTGGTTAAATAATTAGACTTTTGTTTGAATGCTGTAGTGATTTTATCTGCTTTCATAAGAGACCCTGACGCTTCGTTCTCTTGTCGCAGGGAGGTGATTCACTATGACGACCCGCGGATCTCTCTGGTGCACAGCGATTTTGAGAAACTGGAGAATAAACCTGCTCCTGTCTTCAACAAAGGTCTGCTCATTTCAGATCTCCTTTGAACAGGAGCCATATGAAAAACTTTTTTATATTTTTCTTTTTGTGTATTTTTTAAAGATGCAACCTGTTTTTTGTTTGTCAAAAGTAACCAAAGGTGATTAAAGTGTAAAAAATAAGATGACTTGACCCAAAAGCATATGATCTCCCTATCAGACGTTACTCTGACAAAGCTGAACTCTGAAATACCTGTGGCGATTGCCTGCCAAGCGTATCCCCAAACTGCTTTTTTAAAATCGTGTCCTGTTTTCATGTAAAAATGTAGCTTCTCTTCATCATATCCATGTTTCCTGTCAAGTTCGTAGAGGGCTGCTAAAACTGTACTTGTTAAATTTTAAGCTGAACAAAGCAAAGCACTACATCTATTCAGCAGGAGAAACAACCTTTTCAATACTTTACCTCCACTCATAATTACCTGGAACTGCGTTGAAGAGTTTGGCTAGAAAAAATGTATCAACAAGTCATATTAAAACTGAATAAACATGCTAGCACTAGCTGCATGTCTCACGACTCCATTAGAACACTGTATAGTAGCTTTTTTAAGCTAGCGGAACCGTGGTTAAGCAGAATATTAAGGTCGACAGTTGGGTCTAAATCTGTTGTGAAAAAGTGATGGACCGACTGCAGCAACCTGAACGTCGTTAGCGGGTCAGAATGTCGGCTGTTACGAAAACCATCTGTCACAAGAGGTGACCTGTGCTGTGTGTCTGATTCCTCCCCTCAGACGGGAAGTACCGGGCTCTGCGGATGGAGTTCTCCCTGCCTCCCTCGACTTATGCTACCATGGCGATCAGGGAGGTCCTCAAGTTGGACACCAGCATTAAGAAACAGACGCAGCTCAACACCGTTTGGTTTAACTGAGATCAGACGACTCGTTGGCCTCGAACTGGACTGCTGCAGGCACAAATCTACGTAACGAGTTATTTTAGAGTTCAATGTGCAGAGAGAGTATCTGAAAGAGCAACAACTCTGTTCTCTACGAACATGTTTGTTGTCTGTGGTGTGTGCAAGGATGAAGAGCTAAACAACAATATTCAATTTTATGATTTTACTGTATATTTTCAGTGATGATATAAGTAAGAGCTTCACATTCTGGATGCTTATCACTCTGATGCTGGTTTGTACAGAAAAGTTTTTTTGTTTTTTTACTTCTGGCTCTAAATAGGAGTAAAGTTAAAGTGACTAACACCTGAGTCTGATTCCATTTATTAAAAACATTTATTGCTGTGGTTTAAAGCATATCCAGTAACTATAAAACTAAAGTTTATAATTATTATAGTAATGCAGTAAAAACCACCGTAACAGTCAAAACTTTTTTTTCTCAACATTTCCTGTTTAGAAAATGACACAGTTAAGTTATAAGAATATTTGAATAGTTTACAGCTATTTAAAAAGTGCCATTTCATCACAATGTTTTACTGAAGCTGGTTTATATTCATTGGTAAAATCAGATGGTGTCTAACTCAGTGCTGCCCCTCCCCCACCAGTTGCCAGGCAGTTGACTGTGAGCTATCACACCTTCCATGCTAACAGAGGCAACAAATTAAGCTACTTTAAAATATCTCTGAATAGTGTGAAAGTTAAATAGGCAACACTCTGAAGACTATTGTTGGTAAGCCCAGCTAATCCACTCCAGTTGCTGTTGCTGTCTCTCTTAATTCCTCTCTGGCTGTATGGTCAGAAAACTGGGCAGAGACACACTAGTCAGGCTCGATCAAAAAAATTCAAAACAAAAACTATATAAAAAGAACTAATCAATGTTTAATGTCTGTTACACTATTCTGTGAAGTACATCATTGTAACCTTTGACGCCTTTATTCTGGATCAAAATTCAAGTTATTTTGTAAAGCAGCATTTAAAAAATATCGATATAAGGAGCACTTATGTTTTTATTCATTTATTTTTTTCTTCTAGATTGCAGAATAAGGAAAAGTCTGCTTCAGTTTTCTTCTTTCCATACTTGCTCAGACTTGAAAGAGATGATAAAGGAAGTACAGACGTTCTATCCTAGAAAGCTTTAGCAATTCTTATTTTGGCCTCCACTTGTGTTCTTCCAGGTCATTTTGCGCAGTTGGGTCAGAAAACTGACCTGTAGCCTGGCCACCGCACCTCACAGCATCATTTTCTCCAATAAACCTGTACATTACATCACTCAGCTCCCGCTGGCACCTCCTCCAGATAGAGTGCTCAAAGTTGTGCATGGCTGACCGGAGCCACTCTGCAAACGCATCTCGTTCCTTGCTGTCACCTTCTGGTTGGAGCTGATTGAGAAGTTGGTGCTGCTGTAGGACCAAGGAGTGTTCATCAAGCTGATTATTACCTACATCCACCAGTAGAGATGGACGCACAGAAGCTGGCCGTTTGGTGGAGTTGCTCGTCAGGGGGATCATGGGATGGGGCTTATTAACTGACCCGCCGCAGGAAGAAGACGGGACTGGCATTACAAGAAGAGGCAGTGTGAGTAGTGGGAGTGACATTTATGCCCAGCTTCCTTTTTTTCTGAAATGAGCGCAGAAAACTGCACGTTAGAACAACATAAAAAAGTGTTTTTATCATGTTGGGTTACGCTAGAGAAGGTTGGGGAATATTAATCATTTAGTTTTTAGGACAATATTAGCTTAAAAGCTAATATTAGCTTAAATGGTAATGTCATGGAGACTCATTAACACGCTGAATAACATTAACTTAACCCATTCAATAAGTTGATTTTAGTTCTTACATCAAAATTAGCTAAAAACTAATATTAGCTTAAATGCTAATTTCATGAGACGTATGCTAACACGCTGAATAGCCTTAACGTAAGACACTCAGTAAGCTAATCTTAGTTCTTACATCAAAATGAACTAAAAACTAATGTTAGCTTAAATGCTATAATTTTCATGTTGGCTTAACCTAGCATGTTGGGTAGCATAAATTAACAATCCATTTAGTAAGTCAACTTTGGTTTTAGAGTTAAAATAAGCTAAAAAGCTAACAATAGCTTAAAGGCTTTTTGTAAAGGAAAATGTGTATTTAAACATAAGTACGTATGAATGAAAGAAAAAGACAAAAAACAGATTTGCGTAGCTAGCTTGTATGGGCTTCAAAGTGTGATTCCTGCCAAAAGTGGTTAATGCTAAGCAATGGAACTGACGATCTATAAACAGTTTCTAATGGTAAAAATAAAACTGGACTTTTCTAAAAAGTTCTTTGTCTTTTCATTATGGAGTTATGTGTTGATAGTCGGGTGGGGGGGGGGGGGTTAAAATGATCTATTTTAGAAAACACCTGGCTGTAACAACAAAATGTGGAAACATTAACGGGTGTAAATATTTTCTGGTGGCACAATGTCCAACAATGTCTGGTTGCACTGACCCCTCTCCTCTTCAGGACCGGAAGAATGTGTGGTGTGAGGAACTCAAAGCGTTTCAGTATCCAGGAGTCCCGCTCGGTTAGCCCGGGGGTCTGCTCCTCCTCACAAAGCTTCTTCAGGTGGCCGAACTGAGTGCGCAGACTGGTGTACCATGTCTGTAGGATGAGGACGTCCTGGTCCATCTGTGCAGCCTTCTCACGCCACAGAGCCTTCTTCCTGTTGGTGTCTTTGTAGTTTTTCAGCTTGCGGTTGTAGAGGACGGGGTTGCACACCAGCCACTCCACCATGGACACTTCTTCATTCTCTGTCAACATGGCTATCACCTTCTCCTTCTTCTTCGTGGACTCCTCCTGTTCAGTGTCAGGAACGGGGTGCTCTCCGGGACCTGCTCCCTCCTGCTCCTGGCAGCCCTCGGCAGGGGCATCTTCTAGTTTTATCAGCAGCATGATAGGTCCAGAATCAGATGCAGGGCTTTTTTTTTGGTGCAGAACCACGACCATACACTTCCACTCTTCTTTTTTGCCTTACCGTGTCAAGAGGCACTGCTTCTTTCTATCACGTGACGGGAGCGTGGGGCGGTCTCATTGGTTGTAGGGAGAGCGTAGCAGGGACCCCGCCATGAGCGTCGCATCACCTTATTGAGCGCGCTCAGCGTGGTGTGATGGTCAAGAAAACAGATGGAGTGGCCAAAACCTGCTCCGGTTTCTTCAGTCAAACGCTACAGCCATGCTTTATGAGTCTGAGTTCACATTCAACAGGGAAAGGTCTCCCTGTACAGTGGATATTGAAATCAGGCTGCATACCGTTCTGTTGTGCGCAAGACCAAGCTGCAATATGGTATTCGCTTTTCAAAATAAAATCTACATCATTTACACAAACAGTGGAGAGAAAACTATTCTTGTACTCTAGATATGGCCACTATTTACATCAAATAATTGTTTTTCTAAATTTGGGTCGTTGTTCTTATTTAGTGTTTTATGCACTAATTAGATTTTAAAAAACAGAATAATGAGATAAAGGTAAAAATTAAGACAAAATATGGAAATTTAATTTCAGATTAACATTTATTTAAATCACAGCGTAACATCAGGAGTCAGAATCTGAATGTAAATAAAACTTGCCGACTCCATCAAACTTCAAACAATCCCTTTTAAAACCCAAGCAAAATTCTTGACCTTGCCAAGTGAAATATCTTTATGTGACTTAGCTTAGCTTCTCTGCACAGGTATAGAAAATGTAAAACATTGGTCTAATCTGTTTTGACCGGACAAAAGGCCTTCACAGGCTGGTATCATTCCAGCTACGGCCAGATGCCATAAAACGGATAATGTGAGTAGAGTACAACCAAGTAAGTTGTGAATTTATGGGCATTTGTGTATAACCAAAGCCTAGTAATGCTTCACAAAAGAAACAGAGCTAAAACATATTGATACTTGATACTTGTTGTAGCTGAGATTGCTGAGTATTCAGTGAAATAAGAAGCTACTACAGAAACAATTGAAAGTCAAGGAGCTAACAGAGAGGAATTAAAACGGTCTACATTGCATAGTAAGAGTAAGAATTAATCTACTTTCCCTTTCTCAGGCCAGTGGGCCACTAGCAGTATTAGGAGGCACACAGTTGTCATAGAAGATCTGGAAGGAGCCGCTGACATATGTTACCCTCTTCAGGAAGTCCTCCAGCTGCTGAACCGTCATCTCTTGAACCTTGTTGTTTTCCCTGTCGTTGAGCCCATAAGCAGCAAACGCAGGGAACTTTGAGCGCTCCGAGTAGGGAGCGTTGTGATCAAACTCAGTGCAGCAGTAGGCCGACCAGAGGTAGGTAGGAATGCCCAGGCGGTTGATGTTGTGACGGCGAATGGTGTGGCCTGAGGTGGTGATCCCCGTGACCATATAGGCAGTTCCACGGCAGTAGTTGTTCAGCCTCTTGCGCATGGTGTGTTCATGCATTTTCCAAGGACCGATGTTGAACTCTCGGACCCTGGGAACCACGTTGGTCAGAGTGTAGGTGGCCGCTTTATCCTCTGGGTCGGCCTGATGCTCGTCTGGATTCAGCTGGCCTCGTTCGAAGATCACAGTGTCGGAGTAGTCATCGAGCACAGCCTGGGAATCCTCAAAGCTCTTGTGAATATTTGCAGAAGGGAACGGCTCCATCTCTCTGGATCCAGACACCAAAGAAAGCTGTGAGGACAAACAGTGTCAGAGTAACAAAACAAATCTATTTAATTTGAATTCATCTTTGGTCAACAGCCACTCTTACCTGTGGCTCGTACATCCAGGGTACATCAACCTTTTTGGAACCGTCCGAGCGCTTGAACGTGTACGCAGAGTAAACGGGGATGTGGCTGAAGGAGTCATAGAGGGTGAAGAACCGCGGCTTGCCTGCATAGTACTGGCAAATCTTTTTCAACGGTTGCTCCTCAAGCCCTCGTGGTATAGTCCCCATGTACAAGAACTGCTTACACTCCGGTGAGATGTTGTTCTGGACCTCTGCTCCTGCCATTACAACGATGAGAAAATACAAGAGTTTTCCTTCGGTTCTGTAGATGGACATGATGAAACCTACAGAATGTAGTCTCTGGACTGCATTTAATCTCTTTTAGTTGCTCTCTCACTCCTCAGCTTACTCCATACCTCATACCATTTCAGGTATGCAAATCCTTATCTTATTTCCTTTGCACACACCCAAAAACCCTCTCGCTGTTTTAACTGCCACTTCCGCAGCACAGTTAGGTCTAAAAAGCATCTTCTTTTTTGTATTCATTAAAGCAACTCTTTAAAAGAGTAGAGGTAGATAGTCAGTCCGGAGGAAACATGTTTTAAACTCTTCCTATACGTTGTTTATCTTAATATGTCTGGTGAGGATTATATGACATATAATTACAGTGTATATCCATCCTCTCATACATCCTTAGTCTCTACATATTTCTCCTTGCAGATTTGCCAGGAGCTGCTGCCTATATCCAATGGTCATTGGGTATAACCTGGACAGGTTGCCAGTCCATCACAGGACAACACAGAGACACACACAGGACAAACAACCATGCACACACTCACATCTAAGGGCAACTTAGCGAGACCAGTTAGCCTAGCGGTCATGTTTTTGAACTGTGGGAGGAAACTGGAGTACCTGGAGAGAACCCATCCTCATGGTCCGGATCACATAGGGCTGCTGCACATATAAAACACTGTGAAAGATGGTGATATGTATTATTTATTAGCACAATTGTTTGTTATTGAATTTGTAAAAAAAACAAAAAAAACAGTGCTTCACAATATCTATTAGTGAACATCTTCCTTCAGTATTTGGAAGTATAAAACGAAGACACAAACAATATCCCTTTGTATTCCTAAAAGATAACATCATAGCAATTACCAAATGCCTCTGGTTATTAAAACTTGAAACTATGATGTGCTTCTCTTTGTTTTTAGTTGCTGGATTTTCAGATTTTCAGTTAGAAATACAATAACATTGCCCCTTAAGTTGATGCTAACAGGGGAAGCCTGAGCTTGAAGATACAATGCAATGAGTACAAGCATAAACTTTTTATTTTCACATCAGTTTGCTTCTCATTAAGCCAATGGGGAACACCAAGAAACATATTCCTCAACATGTTTCTCAGTGTTTGCATGGATAAAATGTAAAGAAATACATCAATATAATCTTGTGTCTGAACAGATAGCATAACAACAATTGGCGAAACGCGCTGGTTTTCCAGCTTGACACCATGATGTGCTCTAGAAAGTTAAGTTTTCTAACCGTAATAAATTTATGGCTCTCATGACTCCTGCAGGAGTCTTGTTTCACATCCTTTAACTCCCTGCGCAGTTTTCTTCCCTAGGAAATGCTTGTGTTGACTCTCCCTCCACCTCCTTCTTTTGTAACTAAAAGCTGTGTGTTTTTTTCATGCAGGAGAAAAGAGTGGGGAACGTTTCTCAGAAACATCTGTTCCCATAACAAAAGGCCGATGGCAGCACGGCCTATGTGGAAACAAACTCTTCCTGTTTACCACCCAAAGTTCTTCACCTTTTACGATGTAACTCCATATTGACCTAGCCGTGCCCTCTTACCCATTAAAAAGTCCAGTTGCAGATGCCTAGTTTGAGACTAAACCTCTAGTGAAAACAGAAGTTACAACAACAATAACATATTTTTAGATTCTGTTTACAGTCGCCTCTAAGGGTCAGGCCAGTTGGTATGCCTACTTTCAACTATACAATAGATCATTAGCTATGTAATTGTTACATTTTATGTCTTGTGTTAGCTATAAAAAATGAATTAATGTTGTTTCTTCAATGCTTAATATCCCGCCGAAACACATATTTGAATGTGAACTATTTATTACTGATCTTACATCAATATTTATTTGAGTTTTCCTTCTGTGTAGCTTAAATGGTGTATTCATACCAGCCATACTAGGATATTTGCCTGTACTTTCAGATTGTAATATCACTCCCCGTATGAAAATGAGTAAAAACACTTTTGGAGAGTAAAGCAGATCATGTGCAAATAAAAGAAATTTCAACTGAAGGATTTCAGTTTTCCTTCTTTAACAAGAAAACATTGTTTTCCCAAGGCTAAGATTCCTAATATATCCTCAGTGAAGTCATTATCATTCCAACATTAAATATTCTAGCTAATGAATTATATTTTGTCTTCTCAACTGCAGCTGTTCAGTACACACATTTTTCTTGCTACCCTTGCTCTTAGAGAAGCATCTGTTCTCATTTTATGGCGGGCAGACTGTGGCGAGTCGATCTAGACAGTATTTGAAGATGATCAGCACTGAATTCAAACCGTAAATTCAATTGCTTCGGTGTTTCCAAAAATCCTTTCATTTGTCATGTTGGAATTAATTGTTAACGGGTCTTTCCCGTGTGTCCACCAGCTTCAGGTCACTGGTTTTCTGTCGATCAGTTGTGATCGGACTCTGAATGTCTGTAGAGTTATTTTCTCGTTGTTGTTGCATTTCGTTACGGTGTTCCTCGTCTGTTTAAACGAGTGTCACACTGAGGATGACAGGTGTTTGCAGATATTTCTGTCCTGTGGATGCATTCCAATGCGTTTGTGTCTCCGTGTTGAAGACGGGCCGTGTGAGAGCCAGGAGACGCCGTTTATTTGCCTGTTGTGGCTGGGCTGTGTTTGATGGAGGAACGGGGGGCTGTTTCATGCCTTACAGGAGCTGTGCGTGTTTATTTTGGGGAGGGGATGGATGTTTATAGGTCTTGTACCTCTCCTGGGGTGGTCTGCTTCGAGAATGTAAAAAAGAAAAAAGGAGGGCTTTGTCTGTGTATTTTTCCCCATTCCTGTCAATGGAGGATGCAGTGATACATATTCAGCCATTTGGCAAGCTGCAGCAGCAGACATCCACAGTTTCATGACCAGATAGAGAGACAGACGACTGAGTTAGGAGATTTTGGTTTCCCTCTACAATGGTAGTCATATTTTTAGTATCAACACAAGGATATTACCCAAACTTATTAAGGTAAGAGAGTTTTAGAATTAATACCGAGTTTAAGATTTTAGTATTTCTTTCTCAAGTTGAAATATTGAAACGTTGAAATATTCACTCCTGTTTTTCTCGATATGATAGGAGAAGGAAAAGGAAAGATGGTTTTTAAAATCTTTTTCGACAAATAAAAACTGTAATCTTTGATCTAAGCTGTTCTACTGTAGCTCTGACTGAATGTTAAGGGTCCTGCTGGGAGGTAACCATCCCAGTCATTTCACTCACAGGTCTATTTCTGTGTTGCCATGTACTTTGCATCATCCACCTTTTCACTGACTCTAACTTATCTGTTCCTACTCAAGAAAAGTATTCCCACAGGATGCTGGTGCCACCACCATGTTTCACTGTGGGGATGCTGTGTTTAGTACAACTTTTTCCACCTAAGACAAAGACTCTTAAATTTGGCTTCATCCAACAAGAGCAACTTCTTTTACATATTTCCTATGGTTTTTGGCAAACTGTAGATGGCACTTGGGATATTGGTTTGTATAGGTCAGATCAGTGCAGGTAAAGTTCTCCATAGATTTATTCCTGACCTGTCTGGTGTGTTTAGGACTTAGTGATGCTATTTATCAAATATTCTCTAACTTTTAATCTGTTTGTCTAAAACAAACAGGTTAAAATCTCCACAAATGGACTTGTCCAAATAGGTGACTTTTGAAGTCAGTTGGTTGTACAAGGTTTTATTTAGAGGCATCAGAGCAAAGGGAAAAACAACAAACAAAAAAACTAAAGACCACATTGTCCTGATTGTATCTGACAACAACACGATACATTGCAGTTTGTGGTTGTAAAATGACAAAACTTCTGAAAGGCACTGTCTGCAGTTGTAAGTCACAGAATAAGAAGGTATTCAAATCTGTAAAACTTCCCTGTTTTCTCTGAATTTTCAGACAATACAAGTCAACACCCAGAGGACAGAACGGGAAACAGGAAACTCGTCCAGGCTCTCAATCTCAACAGCCTTCATTTAACAGAGTCGAAGTAAATCATGATGCCTGGATTTGTTTTATAGAAAGATGTCAGACTTCCCCACCTCCTCCACTCCCACTCCCGCTCCAGATCACTGCGACTATGGCGACTGGTATCCCTCCTTCTCCATCATCCCGTCTATCTACGTTCTGGCCTTCTTGGTGGGTTGCCTTGGTAACAGCTTGGTGCTCTGGGTGTACCTGCGTCAACCTGACGGGATCAGGATAGGAGACAAACCACAGTGTTGCTGCTGTTTCAGAGCCGATCGCCAGCATGCGCCTTCTTCTTGTGAAAGCGAACCATCAGGACAGAGCCCCAGAGCTTCCTCTCATTCCTTCACCTCTTCCTCGTGCCCTCCCTCCATCCCTCGGCCCTCTTGCTCCCTCACAGATTCTCTGATAGCCAGTTTGGCATTAGCTGACCTTTGCTTTCTTGTAACTCTCCCTCTTTGGGCTACCTACACGGCAATGGGCTACCACTGGCCTTTTGGGCAACCCCTTTGCCAGATCAGCAGCTTCCTCACCGCTCTCAACATGTACGCCAGCGTATTCAGTCTGAGCATGCTCAGTGTGGAGCGGTACTGGATCCTGACGGGACGCCGGCACTCCGGCCACCAGCCCTCACCGAGGTGTCCCAACAGGACGCTGTGGATACTCGTAGCGGTGTGGGTGGTAGCGGCGGTCCTGGCTCTTCCTGGCTTGCTGCTGCGTTCCGTTGGGGAAGTGGAACTTGACCCCACGTCTGAAGATGACCCTGGATCTGTCGTCCTTTCCTGCCAGATGAATTACTCCATGCTGGTTGGGGCAGAGCTTGAAGAGGCTGAAAAAGACAGGGCAGAAGTATGGTGGGCTGCCGTGTTGAGCTTAAAGTCAACCCTAATTGGCTTCCTGCTACCTCTTGTCATCCTGCTCGTCTGCTACTGCTCATTGGCTCCGCTGCTCAGCAGGCACTTTGGACATGGCCCCCGTCCCGACCGCAGGCGCCAGCGCAGACTCCTCAGAGTTATTGTCACTTTAGTGATGGCCTTCTTCCTCTGCTGGATGCCACTCAACGTCAACAAGACTGTCTTCATCCTGCTGGAGTTGGGCATCGTCCCGTACTCATGTTCTCTAGACCAGGCTCTGCTGGCCGCTCATCCGTACGCCACCTGTTTGGCTTACCTCAACTCCTGCCTGAACCCTCTGCTCTACGCCGCCTGTGACCCGGCATTCAGGGAACGATGCAGAGCAACTCTGCTCGTGTGGTGCGGGATATGCAGAAGAGAAGCAGATGGAGACGGGAGGAAAGAAGAACTAGAGAAACAGCAGAGGAGCTCGACCTTTCCAGCAAGGACACAAGAGGAAATAGAGGGAAGGACAGAAGAGGAAGAGGAAGAGGACAGGTTATGAGAAGGAAAAGGAATAATAAACTCTTCATATTCAGTTCAAAAGCAGAATAAATTTGAATCTAAAAAAATAAAAGAGAAACTGAATATTTGTTGGACATTGTTAGGTCTAGAAAATTTCCAGCTGCCTGAGCATTTGCTCTGTCCAGCTTGTGTGAGACTTTTACAGTTAACATCCAGAAATGGGAATGTTCATCAGTATTTTCCCACAGGGTACAATGGAGATGTTTCCCATAGGAAAATGCACATGCTTCCTAAATTATTTGAGGCAGAAATAATCTGGGGTCAGATAAAAGCTTCTCATGATATGTGTTATGTGATACATTCAGGATGTACTTTGGTTTGTGTTGCACTACTGTTTTAGACGTTTCTCTGTTTATTTTTCTTTATGACAACAATAAATAATAAAAGGCCACATCATATTGAAATTTCCTCTGTTGATTTTTTATATGCGACATAAACAACAACATTAATAATAATGAACCTTTTTTTGGTTAATGACCTTTCAAATACAAAATCATTACAGAAATTTTCAAAATGATACAATTAAGAAGAAAGAAACACTTCAAAAGAGATACCAGTAAAAAGTTGTAAAAATACACTAAAATAATTCAATTAAAAAATAAACTTTGATTTAAACACTCCAAATGGAGAAAATAGTTGTGTACATCTTTGTCCAAAAGAAGGCAAAAACTTCAGTTGTTGTATAACAGTTGTTGATTTTGCATAGCAGTCTCTTCATGAAATTGGTATACAACAGCAGTGTCTTCAGTCAGAGGTGTCTTCCAGACTCTCTGTAGTATATTACATATAGTAATATATATAGGATCTCCTGCAGCAGTCATTATAATGACATTATAATGTCATTATAATGACTGCTGCAGGAGATCCTTCCTGCCCAGCCATCAGGATTTACAACAACTCTATGAAGAATGACTCATATCAGTTACAAAAACATTCTTCCTCCCTCTGGGATTAATAAAGTACTTTTGTATTTGAAAATAATTTGAAATAGAAGTAGAAAAAACGCTACAATGACGAGATGTCGGTCAGCCCTTGGAGAAATACCGGACTCCGTCCAGTAGATGGCGCTCATTCCCCGGTAGAATGTTAACTTCGCACTTGGTGCAGCTCAGATGAACTTTCTGTTTACATGCTTCTTCCTTAATAAGTGTCTTCAGAGATACATTCATACTGGATACAGTTCAGACTGTTTTACATAAAGGTTTGAAGGAATCCATATGAATTCTTTATTCAAGCTGTAAGATATAATCTAAACTACCGAGGAGCTTTTGTTGTGATATTTACTCTCTACACGTTCCGGAGTATTGACAATGGGGACAGCTCTGATTTATGATGAGGAGATGACCAAATACAAACTGCTCTGGGTTGAGTGAGTATCAAAATCATGTTCACATCATGTGAATCGGATTTGTTGGCTTCTTTAGCCTGGAGGTCACTATGTCGGATACATTTATATGTTGTTATTCCTACAGTAGTCACAGTTAACTTCACTTACCAGACTGCTGTTCACTGTCACTTTCCACCAACTGCTTGCTAGCGCTTTTACGACATTTTTAATATTATTTATGAATTTTTTTCAAATGTTACCACATATATTACTGTTATTCAACTCTACAAATGAGCTGTTTCTAAATTAAAAATTTCAAGCTGTCTTTAGGAGTAGGGACGGATAACACCTACCCATAAATTAAAAATGTTTGTTTTAGAAAATATGCTTTTAATATTCCTGTTTTGCTATCATCAAACCTGCTTTTCACATTTAAGCAATTTTACAGAATAGTAATCCAAATATAATAAATGTTCAAATGAGCGTATCAAAATTTCAAAGTGTAAATTTAAATAAAACTGCCACCGTTTTAGTTTAAGAAAAAAAATTGCATTAGAAATGCAAAACATAAACTTAATTGATTTTATTTGAAACAAGACACCAAAAATTATCCAGTCCTGCTGCAGAAATAATGTAATCCATCAATGTTAAATAAATATTTCTACTTATTATAATATTATCTAGATTTTGTATTTAATATTGTGTTACTGATTTAGGTAGAAATATAACACAAACACCCAGTTAAACTCAGTTATTTGTAAGTGTTGGTCTTACTCTTCAAAATACCCTATTTTGCCACTCTTGTCTTTATGGATTATACACATAGAGTTTTTATTATGCCGTATTACAATAATGACTTAATATTAGCTGTTTGACTGAAATACTTCCAAAAAGACAAATTAAACTTTTGCTTAGAGGAAAAACTTTAAAACTTTTCCATCACATTTATAGAAATCTCTTGCTGAAAACTGCTGGTGGATTACCTACTTTTATATTGGTAACTGTGACTGGTAACATGATGCTTACGGCTATATTACTTTGTTTTTGTTTCTGCAGCCCGGCATGTAAGATCGAGGTCCCAGAGCGGCTCTCGGTCAGTTACGAGGCCCTGGTCAGGACGGGTCTGTCTGACCGCTGTGTCTCTGTGCCGCCTCGTGAGGCCTTAGATGCGGAGATCCTGCTCGTCCACAGGTCGGTTCTGGCCCCTTTAACACTGGGTCCTTTAGCAGATATTTGACTCAGGGCCTCCCATTTCCTACTAGCACAACCAATCAAAACATCGTTTTAAATGTTCCTGGTTTGATTGTGTGCACATCTAACGCCTCTGACTTTCAAGGTTTACTTGAAGGCATTCATGTGTGGAATAATTGTTGCGAGGAGTTAAAGCTGTGTTTTTCACTTTTTAAATAAAAACTAAATGTCTAAATATCTTTTGTTAAATAAATACAATTAGGTTTTATTATGGTAGTTTTTTTTTATGAGTTTGTCTACAGACTCATACAGAATTCTTTAGAGATATGTTTTAGAAAAATACAAAGGAAATATTCTGCTGTTTTGGTTTCGATAACGCCGTATGTATAAAAAAGCTTATGCTTCTAGTTCAGTCTATACTTTGTGTTCTTGTCTTTGATAGGAATGTTCAATATTACCTTTTCTGCTTCTGTATTACTTTTATCTTGTTTTGTTTTTTTATTCTTCTTCTGTTGTTTTGCTTTGTATTGTTTTTTTTTCTTTTTGAAAAAAAAGAGTTAAAAAATGACAGAAGTAAATAATAATAACACTTTTGTAACTATAGCATATAAACATACAGCAGTAGTCAATATAATAATGAAATATCTCTGCTATTTTAAAGAATTTCAAATGGGGTTCATTCTTTATAAATGTAACGTCAAATTTACATGTGCGCTTGGGGGCCCCCTGCTGGTCTGAATTTGTTCCTGCATTGATTTTCCTCTGGAACCGTTACGGTTCAGTGAATTTATTCACCTCCTCGTTAATGTGAAATAAACAAACATTCTCATCATGCTGCTGTCTACAGTGAGGAATATCTGGAGGGTGTGAAAAAGACTCCGCACATGACTTTGGAGGACTTGAAGGAGTTCACCCTTCAGTACGGGGACGTTTACTTCCACCCAGTTAGTCCACTATTCAGTGTTTGACAGTTGTCCCTCTTTCACTCTCTGGTTGTGTTCCTCACTTTTTATCTCCTATTTTCTTAATTATTTACTGCTGTAGAATATCTATCACTGCGCCAAGCTGGCTGCAGGCTCTGCTCTGCAACTGGTGGACAGTGTCATGACAGGGAAGGTCAGGAACGGCATGGCTCTGGTTAGGTAAGGGTCGAAATGTGTAAATTATGCTTTGCATTATTTATTTCATGTCCCTGCTTTGTTGCAGTGAGGCTTTTACCATTAACCATAACATATAGGAGGAGTAAAACAGTATAAACATTAAATTTTAGCTCACACTACGACTAATAAGAAATGTACGTGTTTCGTGTTGCTGTTTCTAGACCGCCGGGACACCACAGCATGCGCAGTGCTGCCAGTGGTTTCTGTGTGTTCAACAACGTGGCCATAGCAGCGCGCTACGCTAAGCAAAAACATGGAGCCGAAAGGTATTTTGAGCCTTTCTTTAAATCTTTCTCGCCATTTGGTTTACTTTGCTGACTTCTTCTGGAATCACATTCACTTAAAGCAGCTTAAATGTTTCTCCTTCAGGGTGCTAATAGTAGACTGGGACATACATCACGGTCAAGGGGTACAGTATTGCTTTGAAGATGATCCGAGGTGGGGCCCGTTTGTCAAATGTCAACCTGTAAAAGTCTCAGAGGATGCAACAGGTTTTCTGGTGTTTTATTTATTGAGGGTTTCATGGTGTTCTGCAGTGTTCTGTACTTTTCTTGGCACCGCTACGAGCATCAGAAATTCTGGCCCAATCTTAGGGAGTCGGACTACGATAGCGTCGGCAAAGGAAGCGGAGCCGGCTTCAACGTAAATGTGCCTTGGAACGAGGTGAGCAGGTAGAAAAATGGACTGGTGCATTGATTTTGTCGGTATTAATACCGATTGGTTGGTTAAGGGGTGAGATCACACTCACTATCCTACTGTCACAAATGTAACCATGTTGCATTGCCAAAGGCCTGCTCACTTATAAGCCCTGAAATGTTTATTGTGTTTGCACTGATGAAGGATGAATGGTGGAAAAGTCAGAATCTACTTACCGTTTTTGTTACTTTTACAAATTTATAATGATATTTATAATTTGGATTTTGTTATTTTGAAATAAGGGATAAATATTCGCTCACCAGAGTCATCATTATGATATTTCAGGTGGGAATGGAAAACAGCGACTATCTGTCGGTCTTCTGCCATGTCCTCCTGCCAGTAGCTTATGAGGTGAGACATTTTTAGGACACATTTATTTAAGACTGAAGGGTGACCATGACTTGTTGCTCTTTTGATTCTTCCTCGCAGTTTTGCCCAGACTTGGTTTTGGTGTGCGCAGGCTTTGACTCGGCTATCGGCGACCCAGAGGTGCCAAAAAAAACAACAACAGAAATTCTTCCTGTTCAAAGCAAACTTATTTACACATTGCATGCATTCTCTCTTACAGTTCTATCTCATGCCTTTGAATTGGCATCAAAAACATCCAAATTACTTGTTTTGTTGGGGGTTTTTTCCAGGGAGAGATGTGTGCCACTCCGGACATCTTCGCCCACTTAACTCACCTCCTAATGAACCTAGCTGGAGGAAAACTGTGTGCTGTACTGGAGGTATGATTAACAAGACTTAGCAGTCGTATTTAAATGACTTTGAAAGTATTTTATGTATTTTTATACTTTTCTTTTAGGGAGGATACAACTTGACTTCTCTTGCACAATCCGTGTGTCAGACTGTTCAAACTTTGCTTGGCGATCCGCTGCCTCAGCTCGCAAACCTCAGGAGTCCCTGCGAAAGGTCGGTCAAACGTAATCTGAGCGCTGCAGAAAGTCGTGTAACATTTTCCTTCTACCTGGCAATTACACTGTTAGTTTGTCCTGATCTTTCTCATGAAATGAAAACAAGCGTCAAGTTTGTGGATGTAACTTGACAGAGAAATAGAAACCTAAGCTGTGCGAATCTTGAAATCGGTGGCTTTGTTGCTGTTTTCCAGTGCGCTCGAGTCTCTTCAGTGTGTCCGATCGGTTCAGAGGCAGTACTGGTCCATCCTCAAGCATGCAGGTAAAACAGCCACGCAGCAGTTGTTCAGATTTACTTTGTTATTCCAGCATGACACATATGCCTTTTTATTCATTAAGAATAAAAAGGCCTATACATGTCCTATACATGTTGCAAGTGCAGACTACCCTACTTTTTGTGTGTATTACAATCGTTTTCTTACTCTCAACTCCTGTCATAAGCTGATGGAAATAGAGAGAACCTTCATCTTATTTAAGATGTAGAAATGTTAATTTTAGTTCCTTATTTCAATACTTCTTGTCTCGTGCGGTTTCTCATTTCTCCAGCCGATTCAGCTACGACGGACGTCAGCACCAAACGCATCAAACTGGCAAAAGCAGAGGAAGAAAAAGCAGAGACGGCGGAGGACGAAAGAAGCCAGGAGGAAAAAGTTTGGCCTGAGCCTGCAGAGCGTTTGCGCCCTCCCGTTTGTTCTGTGTCGGTGCTTCCTGACGACGCGGCTTGTCCAGACGGATTAAAACGCCTCGCCTCCTCCAAAGATCTCGGACCGCTTTTAGTCAGCAGAATAAGGTGAGAGGCACCCAGAGTCGCACGCCTCATTTTTACGAGCGTTTTCACGCTGTTCGCTAACTGAACCGTTTCCTTGGAGGAACCGTTCCATGGAAGATGCGGGTGACGCGGATGGTGTAGCCACCTTCTCGAGACTTTACACCCTGATTGAGAAAATGAGAACCAACGAGGTAAAAATCAAGACATTGTTTGGGTTCCTTCTCCCTCTACTGGCTTGTTGTGTGTTGAATTTATCTGAACGGTTCTCAGATCGGCAACGGCGTAGCGCTGGTCCCTGATGTCGCCGCAGCCGTGGAGTGTGTTGTCCGGGATCTCTGCTCTGACCTTGTCAGCCGGTACAGAAGTCAAATCTTATGCAGACTGTGTTGTATGTTTTGACAAAAAACACACAGAAATATTCCTACTGAGCTTCACTTTTAAAGTAACCGATCAACATTTAGAGGAATACCCAGTTTGGTTTCTCAAAAATAAATGAGTAATAAATGCTTTCAGACCAGCCTGAATTGTTTCCACTCGTCTTCCTTCAGGGTTTTAGTTGTTTGTGTCGGCAAAGAGGAGCTGAATTACGCCACGGCTGATGGGTAATAGTGATTTAAGCCGTATTGCACTTTTTATAAAAGTTTTATGGAAAGGATTTTCAGCAAGAATCACAATTTTATTACGAAAAAATCTCTGTTTTAAGGAAAATGCTTGTTGTACAAATCAGCGGTGAAGACAAAGAGGAACAGAAAGGCAAATATTATATTCCAGTGTGTTTAAAGAAGGTGAGACACTTTAAAAAACACACATACACACAATACTGAATGCATCTCACAAACATGATGTGTAGTTTTCTTGTCCTCTCAGGGTTGCGGTGACACAGTAGGATTCATCCAGGCAGTCTTTGGCCTCCTCCTACCTCTGGGATACGAGTACGACCCCGGTCTTGTCCTTTTGGTTCGCGTGCCAGGAAGCGGAGTGGGCGACTGTATGTGGCAGCAACTAATTGGCCTGCTGAAGGGCTTCGCAAAGGGACACACTCTGGTTCTGATGCAGGTGAGACGACCGGAGCAAGTTTGAAGTCGAAGTCTTCATAAACTTTATTTTTCTTTGGGCTTCAGACGAATGATGGGGCATGTATGGGCCCTACTGCCTCCGCCCTCCTTGGGCACCCTGCGCCTCCTCTGCAGGAGCTTCTGACTCCGCTCCCAGACGATGGAGGTGCTTTGGAGAGAATGAGAGAGAGGCTGCAAGCTGACTGGAAAATGCTGCAAACAACAGGTGAATGGGTTTGCTGCAACCCTTCCATGTTGGGCATCAACCCCAAACTCTCAAAACTCAAAATTACATGATGTATACTAACAAAAACTTGCATGTATGTGTGTCTTAAGTATCTTCAGGCAATGGAGAGACTGCTAAGAGCTGAAGCTGTTCTGCTGCCATTTGTCTTTGTGGAGCTGATGGACGATTTGACGTATGACATTCGGCAGCTAGTAAACCCCACACTGTTCATTTTTATATCCAAAGTGCTGTTTTATACTCTAAATTATGTTTCAGTCAATGATTTTCATACATTCTTAAATGTATTTGTAATAGTCAGTATTATGCTGAACTAGTGAAACGTTGGTCTGGTAGCTGCTTTTTTTATGAGATGCTAGGCGGCTAACGACGTTGTACCGCTTGTGGCGTCTAAACGTCATTTCCGGGGCTCTTCTTGGATTCCACGTTCACCAGTTTATTACATTCCGACAAGACAAAACCCAACAACTCCAAAGAACACGACAACAGTATTTACCCGGACTCCGCCACCACGGTAACTTCAACGCTCTTCTGGTTTTAACACATCCCTATTACGTGTCGCCCCGTGGCTCATTTGAGCCCACAGCCCCCTCTAGTGACCAAAGAGGGATATTACACGTATTTGACACCTATAACTGCTCTGTGATAAAAAATACAAAAAAAAAGGGGTGAGATGTTTTTTTTGTGATTTTTCATATGTTGAAGCAATTCATCGGATGTAAACCAAAAGTTGGGCACCTATTTATAATTAAAACAGACCATATTAATGATGTGTTTATGTGTGGTTTGGAAATTATAGATGTTTTGCTCTGGAGTGTGCTGCCACTATGAGAGAAAAGAATATTTGAGAGAAGTGAAAATTGTTTATAAAGTAGTTAGATGACAATCCTCAACCTTAGGGGATGCTTTATTTCTCATTTTCCACTTAATTTAGTTATTTAATACAGTATCTGTCAAACCATTCTTTATCTTATTGAGTAGCTCTCTCTTTTCCTTCTGTTTTTCCTCTTTGTTTTCTTCTGAATTCTGCTTTTTTATTATCATTGCTGTCATTTTGTGTTCCACACTTGAACATGTCTTTATGTGTGTGCAAAATATTAGTATTTCAACAAAATACATTCCAGTGCCGATGAATGTCACGTTGGTTTGGGCTGTTTTATGCATTTAAACTTCAACTGATACAACTACAACAGCAACTTCAGAAGCAATTTTGCTCAAGTTTTATCTTTAATGTAGTTTTTCTTTTGTTTGTTTTAAATCCATGTTTGGTCATAATCAAATATACAACCTCAAATATTCTCATGAACCTCAAATAATGTTTGGTTTAATGTCCTTTAGCAAGTTGCAGGTCACATCCAAGAACAGGTTTCTGGCTCTTCTTAGTTGGTTTGATAATTAATTTAAAGAGGTTGATTTTATGACTGTCCAACGTAATCCACATTTCCACCAAACCTGAGGTATATATATATTTTTTTCTGTTTTAACAGCCTGTTATGTTCAGGTTTCCATCATCTAATTCTTCATTTAAGATGAAGTTTTAAAAGTGTTGTAGAAGTTTCAACTATTGATCCAACAAGTGGCTCATTACTGGAGTCTTCAATAATACAGAGTTCCAGGGGGACATCTAGTGGTCAAAAAATGAAGTGCAACTCATGTATTATAGTTTTATATAAATATAACTTTGCGGCCTGAGTATCAAAGTTGGGTAGTAACTACTAGTTACATTTACTTCAGCAACTTTATGGAAAAATAACTTCAGGACTAATTTTACTACACTTTTTAATTTTACGCTACTGTTTCTTGAGAATGTTTCTGGATGCTCTACCCACTTTAAGCTACTTCACTGAATGAAGAAAAAGCTTTCCTTAACCACAAGTCTTGTTAAAGCTTCATAAGTTTTATATTGAAAGAAACTGATTAGGACATTTTTTCTTTTGCCTGATTTTGTTATTTTGTAATTGTTACTTATGTAAATTACTTTCACTTTGGTCTTTAACATACCAAAATTTCCACTTCATATTTTGGTCTGATTATGTAATTTTTAAATATTGAATGATTGGTGTTTTGGTCACTTGCTCAATACTTGAGTAGCCTTTTTACTGAATACTAATTTACTCTTACTTTAGTAATTTCTTGGACTTGAGTAAAACCATGTTGAAGTAGGATTATTTTTGGGAACTCTGCCTACCCCTGAGTGTTTCAAACATCACTAAAGTGCTTAAAATGTCAGCATTGACCTGATGAAACCATGCCTCGTCAAGAGTGGTTCATACATTTCCGTTCATATCTTGAACTGTCCTATCACCACTGAGCAAGGTAGTCCCACAGCATGATGCTGTCACCACCACACTTACCAACTGGGATAAATTTGAAAGCTCCCTTTCAGATCCTCCAGTCTCTTTTTTTGTCATGGTGGTGCAAACAGCTGAGTCTTTGTCTGCTCTGATCATCAAACATTTCTCTAACACAGTTGTCTTAATTGTCAGTGTGGCAAATGTCACAAATTTCTAGGTCTTAATCTTGGTTCATGTTGATGTTGCACACCAGATTTACTAGATGCCGAAACTGACGTTTCCAGCATCTCCCAGTTCCAATTTTCATTCGTCTGATGGTAACAGTCTGGATTAGATGGATGAAACTTGGACACGGTTGGATGTTCCAACAGGAAAAATGATCTCAAACACACAAACTGTTTCTTGTAATGGATAAAACAGACTAACATGAAGCTGCAGGACTGATCCAGACCACAAGCCTGTCATAAAAATTTGTGCTTGAAAGCAGTATGTTTTCCAGGAAACCAATTTAAATGTGCTTTAGTATTTCTGATTGAAAGAATGGTCGTAAATGCAGACATTTTTTAGGCTGTAAGCTTGTTGGAAGCTGCGAAAAGCCTGTGGTAGATAAAAGTACAGCACGCGAAAGGGACTTTTAACCAAACCTTGGTGGGGTGAGTATATTTGAGACGATATGGAGCAGAAACAAAACACAAAAGATTTTCAAAAATTTCGCTTCAAAACCTTGTCTTCAAAATTCACTGAAGCTGGAGTTCACTCAAAAAAGGACCCTGTCTTTTTCCAGGTTTTTTCAAATGGTTTTATTTTTGTTTTTTATTATTTTAGAGTACAAAACTGTAGTGAATCTGCTTCAATTGAAGTTGGGCCTAAACTATAGGTTGCACAAATTATAGGAAAACACACACTTCTAAAAAGGGTGTCCGAGTTTGAGAGAGCGGTGTCAAATGGGGCACCATTAAAATGGCCCCATTCTAAACGGCACATAACCATTTTAATGCTTTTGTGCCGTTTAGAGTTACTTACATAAGGCAATCTAGAACTGTTAGAAGGGATTGTCCCATAGACTCTTTAAAGTGCACTTTTTGCATATTGGTACCCTTTTTTTACTTAGTAAAAAATTCCAACTTGCAGTTTTAGTGGAGCTATTAGGTCTAGTTAAACCTGAATTCAAAGGCTGTCTACAGAGAAGAGGTTGTGAAACTACCCAAATTAGATTTTTATATCTATATAAAAAGCATTTAATCAGTCGGTGAGTCAAAAGCAAAATACAGAGGGGAGAAATGTTAAAACGGCAATAATAAAGAATGTCAATTTAACAAATCGAGAAAACTGCGGCATTATTAGACTTTTGCATATTAGAAGATATAAGTGAAAAAGAGCAAGAAACCAAAATGTTTTCCAAACTCACTTTTCATTTTTCCATACTATTCAATAAATTGCAAACTTTTCCAGATTTTTATTTTTTTTTTTGTGTGTGTGTGTGTGTGTGTGTGTAACCTAAACCTAAATTAGCCCACACGTGGGCTAATTTTAGCTAACCGACAACATGAACGACATCTGCAGGCCTGTGGGTGGCGCTGTGGGTTAGCCGCAGCAAATAGAGACTTTTTCCTCCCATGTGAATCATCTGTGTTAAAGCCAAACCACCGCGGCTGCCTCCTGGAAGAAGCCTGATTACTGTGCCGTGTGTGTGTGTGTGTGAGAGAGAGAGAGAGACAGTGTGTGTGTTTGGGCTGTGATTGGGTAATCTGAATGCAGATCTGGGAGGAGTGAGCGGAATAACAGAGAGATAAGAGAGACGGGGATAAAATAAAAAAGGGTTGGCCCAAAGAGAAGAGCCGCAACAAGAACCATGTCTCTGACTCCGAGCGCATCTGCCAGCCTGCAGCCAGCAAAGATGAAAAAAGACGAATCCTTTCTGGGGAAATTAGGAGGAACCCTTGTCCGGAAGAAACGGGCTAAAGAAGGTGAGTCGGTTTAGAGTTTTTCCTGCTTCAAGGCGTTTTTGTTGTTGTTATTGTAATAATAAGTCCCCCTGTGTTTCTGTCCATGGTGCTGCAATCACAAGATTTTCCATCGTAGAGTAGGCACGTTGTTTGAAATGCAAACACAGACGGGTTTTGATGGTGGTGGAGCTGATAAAAGTTAACATGGAAGGCATCTATTTATATAAACAAAGACTTCATAGATGGCAAACTCCTCTGGCATTCAACATGAGGTAAAGATGTATAAATAGATCAGATCCTCAGAGTGACCTGTTACAGGAATGCCTTTTGATAAAGAAAAAATTAAGATTATTAACTTGAAGCAGTCTTTATTTTTCTTCTACTATTCTGTGTTTAAGCAGCTATTTTTATGTCCTTAATCCACAGAGCAGTTTGGTCAGAAGGACAGCTGCAAAGGTTTATCAACCTCAAGCTGTGTGTGTGTGTTTTCTCACTGCCATGTGTTTGCAATTTCCATTAGAGCAGACCCACTGGCAGGAGGTCAGAAACATTTTAATTGTTTTAGGAGGAACCCTGGATTCCAGGCTTCACCTTTCAAGGAGAATGTTCTCTCATTTGAACTTCTCTTAATGGATCGGGCAATGCAAAACTGCTTTTGTGCAGTTTAATCCTTTTGTTTTTCTTCCCCCATTGAATTTAGCAAAGATACTCACAATGTTGGGTTTAAAAGTGCAAACATTCCTAACGTTTAAGAAAAAGACCGTTTTCAGAGCGGTTTTAGAGGTTTTGATGTAAAGCTAAACAGTTTTTGAAATATCTAAATTGTAAGATTTCATTCTAATTTTGAGGAGACGGTGAAAGAAAGAAAGAGAAAAGCTCCTGGTTGTTCTTCGCCTCAAATAAAATCACCATTGCCTAAGTTCAGATAGCAGCTGATGGTTACAACTCATATTGTGATAATTTCTGACTTTCAAAGATGAAAATGGATGTTAATTTACAAAGAACTGAGTTGTACAATTGATGTAAATAACTAAGGGGTGACCTCACCTGTTCTATGTAGATCCAATCAGAAGTTTAATCGTCTGAAAAGGCAAATAACTTCAATGGATTTCAAAATAGTTTTGTCTAGTCCGACTTGTGTTTCAAAACCAGTTTTGATGTATGTTTGGGATCATTTTTCAACTTTAACACCTAGCGAGTCATCGTCCAATGACGTCAGTTTAACATCCACACAAACTCGGACCTTGTCACCCACCCACTCAAGAAAAATGGGATTTCCAAATCTATGTATACTGTAATATATGTTGCTATTAATAGATGTTATTATTAGATGTTGGGAGCATCATGTTTATCTCTAGTGGTTCTGGTGATCAGAAAGGATGACTCCCTCAAAAGTCTTGAGCTTCACTTTAGTTCAGTAGCTATGGATTAATAAAACCCCAGTAGGGAGTCCAACAGGACAGTGATCATAAGCGGATATGAAAACTGAGTTTGGAAGGCTAATAATAAGCTTCTTTAAATGAATTTGACATCAAAGCTGTGGAAAATTTATAGACTGTGCTTAAAATTCAGGTCAGAGCCAAAAAAGGTCCAATATCCAACCTGAAGTATGCCAGAAGTTTCACGACGGCTACAAAAAAAGTTTGGTTTCTCTTTAAGGAGATGTATCTATGCTATACTTTAACCCCTCAATTTGTTTTTCTTCAATAATAATAATACACACAAAAAAGCAAAAAGTCAAAAATGAGTGTAGATGTTTTCACCATGAAAGCACCTGATGCGTTCTGCCAACCTCTTCTCTGATTTAAATCTGTTTCCGATCTAAATTTGACCAACCTGTTGAGTGCGTACCACTGATGCTGACTGACGTTTTCCTTCCTCATACCCAGGATCTTATCAGAAGTTTCTCACCACCACAAGCCGGATCTATATCTGCTTCATGAAAGTAGAAGTGCTTACTTGGAAGACCTCACGAATTTTAGCTGATAAAATGCTCCAGTCAGAAAAGCTATGAACATGCATCAGCTTAACGATGACTTCTTCTACAAATGTATTGAGATTCTCAAAGTTAGTTTCTTAAATCCTCGGTTTGTCATGTTTTCATGACGCTAGAAAGTAATGGACTGCAAATGAGCTAAGGTATTATTTTAAAAATGCACAAGTAGAATAGTTGAAAAAGGAAATCCTGTGCATATATTTGAAACGTGTCACTCTGAACTAAAATTATTCATTCAA